TGAAACATCTTTTCTAGATCAAAGCATTTTCTGTTTGTGCTGTATTTAAATAGCTTGACACTGAACTATGATCGTATGGCAAGAGAAGAGAGAACTATCTTTTTGGCAGACGTGGCAAATGATGATGTCAGATGGTTCACAATGCTTATGGGGATCAGTATCTGAATAAAAAGCAGCACTGAGGTGAACTCAGGCAAAAATGAAGTGATGCTGTGAGGAAGGAGGAAACATTTGGAAGAGCTAGCTGAGAGACTACTACTTCCATCACAGTATCTTCTCTCCATGTTTTCCTCATGATAGTAGGAAGCCTTGTAGTCCTTGGATTTATTACCATTCCTGGATGCCCAAGGAGCATTAATGTCAAGAAATACATTATTTTTATCTACAGCCTGCCAAGAAATGGCCCCCACCCCCCTCTCTGGTGAGGATCAGGCCACAGCGATCAATATGCTTGTCTCCTCTGATTTTGGATCATTGTAACTCTGTATCTACAGGCAGAGATGGACTGAATGTAAAGACCTCAAATTGTGACAAATGAGACACCCCATCTACTTAGCAGGAAACAGCACCAGAAACGCATCAGTTTAGTGGCTTGCATCCTCTGTTGGATTCCAGCAAAATATCTGAGACTACTTCTCCATTCAGGACATCTGAGCAAACTGCATTTCTCTTTGGACAATGAAGCTAAGGAACATATGATGAAGCCTGAAAGACCAAATGTAAGGTTCTTTCAATCAAGCACTTATGGAACAATTTACTGAGAGAATTTTGTCTCAGCCTACAGGCTACCCTTTTTCCCACCGAAAGCCTTCCCTACAGTGATCAATTATAAAGCAATTAAACTACCAAAGAAAGTGAGAAACCAGTAGATTGATGCAGCACCAGAAGTGATGTGGGCACTGAACTGATCTGTGGTGGTGAAGCAGGAGCTGAATTCTGAGACACAGCTCTCAATTTACAGTTCATTCTACATCTCCATCCTCACCCATGGTCATAAACTTTTAATGACCAAAAGGATGAGATCGTGGGTACAAGCAGTGGAAATGAAGTTCCTCTGAAGGGTTGCTGGGCTTGCAGTTCAAGATAGGGTGAGGGAATTGGCTATTTAAGAGAGCATCAGAAGAAGCCACTACTCCTCCAGTTTGAGAGGAGGCAGCTGGAGGAAGTTGGATCATCTAAGGATTCCCCCAGAACACTTCATTTGGAAGTTTACTGGGCACATCCCACTGGGTGGCAGTCCTGAGGCTGACCCAGAACTTGTTGGAGAGATTATATCTCCTGAAAGGCCTGAGAATGCTGGAGCAAGAACCTGTCGTGAAGGGAGCAGTCTTTCCTTCTCTACTCTCCATGTCTTCCTTGCTGTCCATACAGCTGCCATGACTATTACCAGCAAAAATGGCATAAAGGAAAAACAGAGTTAGGGGGGAAAAAAATTAAAAAAAAACCCTGAAAAAAATGCAGGCAAGATGAAGAACAGAATATATTATGGACAATTATATGCAAATCTTAATTACTCTGTTAAGTAGTCCGGTGGAGGTTATCCTACCAATACTCGAGTCATATGTTTTTTTCCCCTCCTATGGCTGACTCAGTGCTACTAACCATTTAGCCAATTATGGTGTAAAACACTTGGTCAAATCCTGTCTCTAAAAAGGCAATTGCTAAAATTCCAATAAGCTTCTGTGTGATCCAGAATTGCCCCTTGTAGGGGTTCACCCCCGTGCGGAGGGACTTACGTCCGCCCCCCTCAGTTGTCACTGTCGTTAGCGACCTAATGCGACTAGCTTCGCTCGGTTCCGTTCGGATCAGCTCGGTGGTTGGGGGAAGGGGGTCCGGGCCCGCCCTTGCTCCGGACCCCGACCCAGGGCCCTAAGGTCAGGGAAAGACTCCCCACCTAGCGAGGGGGGTCGAGAACCCTAAACTCCCCCGCTCTCAGGGTCCGTGTCCCTGCCCTGGGCCACTTCTTCCCCCTGGTCCAATAGGCTCACCTGGGCTTCCCCTCCGATCCTGCCCAGGGCCTCCAATACTGGTGTCTGCTCACCAGTTCTTGGGGGGGGTGCGTCTCCTCGGCGTCCCCCCTAATGGCTGGCACGCTGCGACCTTTTAAACTGCCTGCCCGTCGCTAATTTATATGGTTGTTCAATATAGCAAACTGTCAATGGATTGTGAGAATACAGTGCACTGTCGTTCCTCCTTTCAGCTTCCCTATATTAGAGGAAGCACTGGCACAGAGGCTTGACCTTCCTTCTCCTATATCAAATGCAATGAAGTCTGAGCAAGCTAGAAAAATTCAGCAGCTATGTCCTTTTTATATATATATGTATTTTGGATACAGGTCTTACACTGAAAAGAATGGTGCTAGATATGTGAGGAAGTACTAAAGGTCCTACTTCCAGGTTAGGGCCCTGTTTTTATGGACAATGACTTCCTTCCTCCAGTGCTGAACATAACTCACAAGGACACCTCTGAACTGCTGCAAACTTTCCATGGGACAACTCTCCTACTTTAACTTCCCCTCTTAGTTAAGTGTATTTGCTTTTCATCATTAAATCTTGACAATGTTGGGCTCTGATCCAGCAGTCCAGATGGTTCAAAGAAGTGAAGGATAATATATTATGATTTAGCATTTTTTTTGTTACTTCTCCAGTGCAAAAAAGAAACAGCTTAAAGTCAGGTCAACTTTGTAACTCATAAACTGAAAATGAGAATAAATGTGTGTGTGTGTGTGTGTGTGTGTGTGTGTGTGTGTGTATATATATATATATATAAATATATATATATATATAAAAATATGATTAGAAAGCATAAACAAGGCAGGCTAAAAAAGGTGTAAGATCCAAATAAGCTAAAACCTAACAGATTTATGAAAATAAACATTTTTTTCCTTTGTTTAAAGGGACACGTGAGGTATTTATTATTCAACAAAACAAACCAAAACCTGAATATTATCTGGCCTGGATATCATCTTACTGAACGTGCATACTCCCACACATCATATAGCCAGAAATATGTGTATTATGGGACCAGGGTGGGTCTTTAGCATTTTTTTTTTAAAAAAAAGAACAAAATCATATTTCTTAATGAAAAGAAACCCATAGAAGTCCAACTATTTTTAAAGTTCCTCAACTTTTAAACAGCATATGTCTTACTACCTACAAATCAAAGTTCTTTCAATCAAGACAAACCCTGTGATAAATTCAGCACTGAATTCTACATAGATGCTGTTACTAAGGTTGCTACTAAGGTTCTGTGGCAACATAGTTCACCACTTGCCACAGAATTGTGTTCCCTCAGCTTTCGTTGTTTTAAAACATATTTCTTTCATGATTGCTAAAAAAACCCTTGAAAATATGACATGAGTATATGTGATGCAGTGAGAAGTCCAGATATTCTAAGCCAACATCTGTTGAAAGTGTGAACTGCATTGTTGAGACTGAAAGCTGATATTGACATTCTGGTAGCATACGAAAAATGGAACAGCATAAAATAAGTTTAATATAAAAATAAATAACATAGGGGCTGTTGTACTGCTAGTTGCATTTATTTTAATATGTAATATATTAATATAAACCTCTATATTAGAATTTACCTGAATTGAATTCACAGAATTTTGGGTCAGTGGAGTACACCAAACCTTGGTTATTGCTCTTCTTTTATTGGCTCTATCCAAACTAAAATTGCTTCCATGATTTGCTATGTAGGTTGTTATTCTATGTACCAAGGGGTTCATTACTTCCCAGATAGGTCCATATAAAGTTGATTTCTAGCAATATGCGTCTGCCTAACTTTACCTTCCCCAGAATTTGAGTAAAAGACTTTGCCCAGCACATTATTATATATGATAATATTACTTTTGAGAATAACAGCAGAACATAGAATCAAAGATCTTTCCTGACACACATCTTATCAAGTGTCACCAATCTAAAGCCCATACTTGCCATTATTTTTGTACTTCTCAAGTGACAAATGCCCTGATTCCGTCTTTTCTGACTGATGACTTATTATGAGACAGGGGCTTTTTTTCCTGTGTGATTTGGCACTAGCTGACAATACCTCACTAGAGAGCGCTTGCAATCTCAAAGGTTTAAATTTGTTGACTTTTGGTTTACTCTTGATCATTGTTTTAGATAAAGGTAAATAGGAGTGCCTGATAGAATAGGTCAATCTCATTCATCATTTACAATCTTCATTCATATCTCCTTTTAGGTCCTTTCTCCAAATTAAACCATCCCAATCTTTTCAATATTTCTTTTTTTGAGATACAATTATCAGAGGTAAGCACAGTAATCAAAGTGATAATGCCACATGAATAAAATGAAATTATGTAGTGTTCCAAGTATTTTCTGAACTAAATATGTTGCTGCTAATAGCTGGGTGTTCTTCTGAAATTCTGGCCACTTGTCTAAATTCCCATGGTTCCTATTAGTTAGATGGTTTGAACATATTATGCTTAATAATATAGCTTGCTTTTGTTTGTAAACTATTTAAAACAAAATACTCAAAGACAAGAAAAGAAACAAAGAATATTATTATTGCCTATCTACTTAATGAAACATGTTTACTACTTTTAAGTTTTACATCAGCTTTTGCTTTACACAGGCAAGTTCTGGTAAAAACTAAGTATCTAACGCTAACCTTATAGGCAGGCAAAGTTTAAATACTCTCAGTGAAATGTATCCCAAAATTTAAATCATTGGGATATTAGTTCTTGGATTTTTATGATGTGTGTGTGCATATATAGAGAGATGAAAAGCTGTTTTAGAGATCTTGTAAAGGTTTCTGATCGATGCTGTTGTTACTGGTGGGGGCCAAATTCAAGGATTTTAAATAGTCTCCAAACAGCTGACTAAGCATTTTCACATAGCTAAAGGGAAAAGAAAAGAGGAAGAGAAAGCAGGAATATGTGCTTAATCTTTTTCCCACCCTTTTCTCAGCTTTCTGTTTCTTTAATCTTAGCTCTTCTTCCAAAACTCCTTTTATAAAGAAGAAATATTCTTAAATAAGTGTAAATTATTTTTATTTCATTTAAAAGTACATAAAAAAAAATCCAAACATACAAAATATAATTACAGGCAAAACAAATTCTGGACAAGGCTGTATCAAAAACACACATTCTTTAACGGATCCCTGTAGTTGCTCCTAATTTTTAAAATCCATTTTTCAAATTGTAAAGAAAAGCAACTGGAATTTTTATTGCTTATATTTCCATTTTAGTCTTTGATTGCAATTAAGAAGCAGATGTGCTCAAAAACCCATCAGAAACAGATGTTTTTTCCCCTTGTTATTGAGTGATTTCCTCCTCTCTTCCCCCCTAGTTATTCCATAGAAATCATGATAGCACAGACTTTGGATTTTATTTGGACTTTGCATAGGTCACTTCTCATTTTAAATTAATTAATATTTTTTCACTGATACTCACAGTTTAACTTTGCTCTATTCTATAACTATGGATTTTGTGTCCGATGCGTTACTGTATAACCAAAAGAAGATGGGAAGCTGCCATTATTATGGTAATGTTTCTACTAGCATCACAGAAAAAAATGCAACACATTATTATACATGGAAAATAGATGTAAGCTATTTTGTCAACCCAGTCACATAAAAGAAGCTAAAACTACTGTAGATAGACGCTTAAGACATCTTTGGCTACCTGCATATAGCAAAATACAATCACATTTTAGTATTTTGAGCCCAATTTGTAAACAGATGTAACTAATTGAAAATAATGGAGTAGTACTAGTTTGCACTATTAGTAAATATGCCCCATATGCTTACAGCTATCCGTTCCTTAGTAAGACAGTGTGTTAATAAATTGCTCCCAACATAGCTAACAATATTACTCCACAGTTTATTACACAAATTAGATAAATATGTAATAAAATCCTGACCTTGCACTCAGATTGTCCAGAGAGGCCAGAAGTGAGAGGTGACAAGTCCCAAAGGAAACATCTGTGTGACTTCTGAAGGGAAAGGGTGATTTTTTATTTCAAGTTTATTTGTATTGAGCAAAGTAGAGCCCCAATAGGGACATTTTCTTTTACACTCTTGTGATTGGTGTGAAGTTCCTGAAGGAAGGGCAACTGAAGCAAGGAGTGCCTGCAGTGCCACAGTAGGTCAAGAGAGCACCATACAAATAATTACCAACGGGCAGAATCTGACCCTTATTATTGCATCATGAAATATCTTTGTAAGCAATATGCTTATTCTATCAATAAAGAATATTAATAGCAGTATTTAAAATCAAAATAAGAAATCATATTTTTACACATTTCTTTCTATCAACTGTACATTACTGCAATAAAGAGTTCAAATATGTCACTCTTTGGACACAAACACATTTGTCTTTTTTTAAAATTGTTTAAAGTACATTTTTATATTAATTTGGAGCCAAGACAACAGAATAAGATTTATAGCCTTCCTGACTGAAAAGGAAGTTCGGTATATTCTTGAAAATGAATCCCCTTGGATGCTGTAATCTTCATAACTTCTCCATTTAAAGCATCATCTTCAATGATCATTAATAGTCCTTTGGCAATTAGTGATGGGCTAGAGAAAAATAAATGTTTTTCTATTTTGAAAATCAGGCATGGCACAGAATACCTTCTTGGTTAGTTTGTTAGCATAATGCACTAGAGATTGTGGAAAATGTATGCACTAAACAAAGTATAAATAAATGTTTGCATAAACACTTGCAAACTGAACCATCTACAATTTACATACCAATATTTTTGGTACTGCAACAGAAGTTCCAAGAGCATTTCAGGAAGGATATGGAGTCATAATTTGGGCATACAAATAATATATCACTGCAATTTGGCAAATGATCCCTTATAAGTCTAGTCATTGGTAAATACTTCAGATGTTTGGTTGCCATCTAGTTTTTTATTAAAATTCCCTGTAATAAGTACTATCCCTCTGCAGATCTCCTCTGTTGTGTATTCTGCATTTGTTTCCCAAGTGACATCTGAAAAAGTGTGGGCAAACCAACACAGTGTTATGGTGACTGCATGGATCACAGTGTTATGGTGACTTTGAAGTACTGGTGACTGCATGGATCACAAGTGCCATTGAGACAGGTTGTGAACACACCATTCTGTTAACAAACCACAACCCCTGTCCAATATAAGGTAAAAGGGGATGATGAACCCTCCCAGTAGTTTAGACTGAATGGCCTATCAGGGTTTGGCTCTGATTAGATCAGAAGGGAGAGAACACAGCAACTGAGAAGATTCAGAATGACCCAGACATCTGAAGGATCAACTGAAAGCATGGTGTCTGACACTAGAAAAGACCTGGGGAAAGATTTTTGGGTTAGAGACGCATGCTGAGAAGAATGTTATTGGTGCTGTGAGGAAAAATAAGCGATTTCTGCTATTTAATTCCTTTTGTGTTCTGAGATGCAGGACTTTGTATGTTCTTTGTAAATAAAAAAGATTGCATCAAAGAAAATTTCTACTTCCCAATGGAACATTTCCAGGGCCCTGAAATTTAACTAGATGATTGTGTTAAAAAGGGACAGCAATAACATAGTTAAGTCCCTTTATTTCAGTTGCCTTCTATTTTGTCTCGTGTAATTTGTATAGAAATATAATACAGATGCTTACGCTGCTATGAATCAGCAACTCCCTGTGTTATTATTACTTACTTTCCCTTCAGCTATAGAAGACCAAAGAATATTCTATATAGCTTCACTTACTCCATCACACCATAGAACTTCATCATGTCTTTGATCTCATCCTTGTATTCGTAATATTGTCCCATATTCTCTTCTTTATCAATAGACTGAAGAATTGGTGTGTTAACAAAGCCTGGACAAATTGTATTAAGTCGCACACCATAATTTCCCATTTGAGCTGCCATCTACAAAAATGTTAGACATGTTCATTTTCAGCATTTTATGAACTTTTACAAAGATTAGAAAATACATTGCTTGACACAATCCGTATAACTAACAGAAGGATATTAGCCCTTTATTTGTCAGTGTTTTATGCAAATAGCTAGCATAAAAGGGCTGTGTGGGTGGCAAACTGGGTATTGATCCTGGTCTTATATATACCTTTCTGTTTTTGTACGTGTATAATTTCTGTAATGCTCTCATTTTATCAGTTTCTTTGTTGTTGGAGTATTATATATTTTTAAAATGATGCAAAAAAAAAAATCTCCCAAATTTCTAATTTGTATCTGGCTGTGTCACGCTTTGCCTTCTTCTCTGTTATGTGGTAAGTATTTGAAGTCCTGTTGTGTCTCTTCAGTGTTTTGTTTTACACAGAATTGGTACTCAAAAGTTAAATTAATTTGATACATGGTTGGAAGAGGTCTTCATGAAGAGGATAAAGACCATTGAAATAAGTGTAATTCATATCAACATACAAGAAGTCTTGATTACACTCTAGATTTTATTCCTTAGTCTATAAAATCATATGAACGATTATGCTAATAACTCCTGGACAAGATTGCCTCTGGTTACTGGAAAAATTCAGAATGTACCCCAAGATCTGTAGTCTTGGCATCATTACCAACCAATGAATCGTTGGTGGTTCTGATGATTGAATGTTTCAGGAAAAGTTTAAGCAATATATTCTTGAGCAAGACAAGATCTTGCATACACCCATATTTTGTTGAGCATTACTATGAAAAGAAATCCAACACACTCTTTACATAAAATCATTTTTTTGAGTTTTTCTCATCAGCAATTTCAGCTACCACCATGAGCACTATGGCTGGTATACTGATATAGCCTAATACAAAAGAAACAATGGCTGTCCTAAATATAACTCCAGCAAACCCTTTTTTCCCTAGAATAACTTTTTTTTGACTCTGATCACCACTATATTGCCTAATCTGAGGTTGATCATTTTTATTGGAGCTTTATCTAGAGATTCTTTCTTCAGAAGCTGGCCTTCTATGTCTGGGACAGACAATCAATTAAAATCCCCCAAATTTCTAATTTGTACCTGGCTGTGGCCTGCTTTGCCTTCTCTGTTATCTGGTGAGTATTTGAAGTCCTTTTGTGTTTCTTTGGTGTTTTATTTCCATATGTCCTTTAGGAAGAAGCATATGCTCTCATGTTTCTTTGTTGTTGGAATATTATATATATTTTTAAATTATGCAAAAAAATCAAACTATGTATTGTCATGTGCAGATGATGGCCAAGATGTGATATGTGACTTCTATTCCCAAACTGATCTGGATTACTTAACCTTAGAAGTTTCAGAGGTTTGGGAAAATATCTTAAAAGTCTGGTTGCTTATCTAAATATATCTCAGCTTCTTTGGGGAACATATCTCATGTGAACAGGCTACATCAAATTACGCATATAAATGTTCCATGCAAATATATGATATTATTGTCACCCATGTACTTTTAAGCCTTTTTCCTCCACCACTATCTTGCCATAAATTAAACAATAAGATGCTTGTGATAGGGACCACTTCTTCCTATATATTTGTACAACACCCAGCATACCATTCTGAATTGGAGCCTTTCATTTTTACTACCAGACCAATGTTAAGTAAGCAGAATGCCCAAGCCAGCTTTAATAATGGGGAGTACTTTTAATTTTCAAATCACATTTACTAATTTGCACTGCAGCATCACTTATTACACAAATATCATCATCCCTAATTTACAGATGGAGAAACTGAAAAATTAAATGATTTGTCCAAAAGTATATGTTTTTATCCCCTCTTTGTATCACATTCATTGCCCATACACTAAGAAGATTGCCCAAACATTGTACTGATCACCAACTTCACATACAGCCCAGTTGTTGTCTTTTTGGGCTTTGTCTATACTTACACGGAGATCTAGGCTCCGCAGATTGATTTTCCAAGCTTCAAATTAGCAGGTCTGGTAAGGACCTGCTAAATCCAATGCTGATGGCACCCAAGTTGACCCTAGTACTCCACAGGGTCACGAGGAGCAAGGGAAGTCAACAGGAGAGTTTCTCCCATCAACCTCCTGCATTGGGCTGCTGGAAAAAATGATTTAAGATATGTTAACTCCAGTTATGCTATTATTGAAACTGGAGTTGTGTCAACTTGGCCTTGGATTTCCCTGTGAAAGGAAGGAATTTTCAGAGACCACCTTAAAAGCTTTTGTTAAAACAAAACAACCTCACATAGCACTTTAGTGGGCACTGATTTTACTTGCAATGCTATTCAGAGGGAACATGAGAAAGTAAGCATGTTCTCAAAGAACTGCTGATAATGATTTTGGTCACAAGTACTCACTGCTATAGACCGTGTGAATCCAATTATGCCATGTTTTGTAGCACAGTACACTGGTTGGTGTGCAGCAGGCATAAGTCCTTGAAAAATGAAGAGAGTTGAATACATACATTAATAATAAATACCTGTTGAGATTAGAACAGATGTACAATCAAATTTAGCAGTTAAATTTCTTAATTCAAGTTGTAATTTTGAGGACAATCTGGGGAATAGGAAAAGGAATGAGAGACCAGCCAAAAAAACAAATTCCAGAAAAAAACGAAAAGGCAAGAGAGAGTAAGAATACAAAAAGAGAAAAACATTTTTCATAGTCTATATCGAAGGCCATATTGAGTGGGGTACTGCAGGGATCTGTCCTGGATCTGTTTCTATTCAATAACTTCATAAATTATTTGGATAATAGTATAGAGAGGGCACTGTGAAATTTGTGTTAATTTGCTGGGAAGGATTGCAAATGCTTTAAAGGACAGGATTAGAATGTAAAATTATATTGACAAACTGGAAAAATGGTCTGACATTCAATGAGGACAAATGTAAAGCACTATACTTAAGCAAGAATAATCAATTGCAACCGACATAAAATGGGAAATGACTGTCTGGGAAGTACAGTAGACTTCCGATAATCCGGAACCTATGGGACGTAGGTGGTGCCGGATTAGCAAATATGCCAGACTATCAGGAGGTACTATAAAATGGTCTATCTATCTATCTATCTATCTATCTATCTATACACACACTGTATACATTATATACTGTATATAAAGTGTTCTTAACCCTTTTTATGTACATACTGTATACAGTATACTGTAATGTTTTAGGTTTTTTAAGCCTTTTTTACCCTTTTTGCTCAGTTCAGCTGCTGCTGCTGTTGCCTTGTGACTCATTTTTTTCCGAAGTTCGCTCACTAGGCTCTTGCCATTTTGATGCCGGACTATCAGGAGTGCCGGACTATTGGATGCCAGACTATGGAGTTTTACTGTAGTACTGCAGCAAAGGATTAGGGGAATATAGTAGATCACAAACTAAATATGAGTTAAAATGGAATAATCTACATGGGGCCAAATATTGGGAAAAAAAGCCTCTTTGGGAACCTTCTTCCTCATTAAACGAGGTTTACAGGGATGCCGACAAAATGCGTCTGCTTTTCCGACTTTTTTGGGAAAAGCAGACATCTTTCTTGGACATGGCAGAGCTTTTCCGGAATACTGGATGTATCCCGGAAAAGCTCTGTAGTCTAGATGTACCCTTGAGTGATGACAAAGGGAGTGGGGTGAGTGCAGTATTATCAATTGCAGTAGAAAAGCAAGAAAGTCAGAGAAGGTTTGGGAGGAAAGGTTAGGAGGTCAGTTTTTGCCCAATTGAGTGTGGATTGCCAGTGGGATAATCAAAGGATGACACACCATGAATCTTCCATTATAGGGATTTCAGTCACAAGGGTGCTAGCAGGCATAATGACCAAATTATAATGCAAAGGGACTGCAATTCCATCTGGAAATTATGTAACTGTAAGAAGCAAAGCACAGCCTGTCCTGAATTAGAGAGATACAACTTGAACACATTCCTGAATGGAGATGTCATTAAATTTGGATGCTAAAGTTGCTGTGCTAATGTTTGTTGTTTAGCTCTGACTAATGGAAATCACCCCAATTAAAAAAATCTATTTTTCCTTTTTGGTTTTTGTAAATATCAGCAACAAAGGGTCTGATTCATCACAGAGGGAAAGATACAAGCAAGGATCTATGAACCCATCAAGTTGTTAACATGAGATTTCAGTAGAGATATTAAGTGGCACATAGAGCCTTGTACGGGCATTCTGCTCTGGAGTTACTTTGACCCAAAGGAAATAATTTTCTGATAAGGCTTTATAATTACAACTCTGACATGAAAAATGATATTTCAGTGTTTAAGACATCTTTCTTTATTTAAATGCTAAATTGATCCAGTGAAAACTGCACTTTTATTAGCACTTTTCACTTTTGGGGGTGGGGAGTAAATGGTGTATTAAAATGAATAATGGTGTCTTTTTAAGTTTGTTCAACTCTTCATCTCAGATGAAAAGGTTCAGCCTTTGGATGCTTTTGAAAGTTGTTAGAATGGATCACTGTACTCTGGCACCTCTAAAGGAAGAGTGCTTGTTCTATTTCTGAGTCTCCATCTGTGACGTTGTAGACCGGAACCATAGACCTTTGTAAACCCTGCTTTTTTATGATGCTGGGGAGCTATCAGTGAGTTTACTTCTACTGGGATTTGTCCTCCAAGAGTAGAGTATTTCTTACATCCTGCAATGTAGAGTCAGCACTAGTTATTGTCAATATTATTCATCACACCCAAGTGGTATTTGTTTAATAGTACAATGTGCTGTGCATAACATAAAGATAAAGGCAATCGGAACAAATTTACAGTTGAAAAAGTAGGTAAGACAGGCTGTATTAGGAATCCAGAGGAAGGACTTAGACTAGAGGTTAGTTAAGCAGGCTACAATTTCTTTGAGAGAGAGAGAGAGAGAGAGAGAGAGAAAATACATAAAATCAGAAAATGAACTTAAATGCATACTTAGCTGAAAATTAAGTGGAAGATGGCACAAAAACTCACTTAGATGTCAAAAGACAGTTACACTAACACTACAGGCACTACAGTGCAATTTTTTCTGTTATTTTCTCTCTGCCTGATTTATTGGTGAGCTGACAAAAAGGCAACTCCTCCCTTTGGTTTTTGCTCTAGTCCCTTTGTGGTTAAGGTGTCCAGATCATTAATTACCATTTTAGATGTAAAGTGAGACTTCTAGCTAAATCTATTTATTCATTTGTCATGGTCAATGGTTTTAATTAAATTTCATGATCCACAAATTGGGAAATTAGCAATGGAGGTATAGGCTGTATGTCAGATTTGCATTTGTTGCTATTGCCTCTTTTTTCAATGTATTTAACTGATTTGGTGAACACACAGTGAAGAATTTCCTCCTAGGTATATTCCCCTAATGGACAGGGATTACCCACTGGGATTTGATGAAGTATCTGTTTTTAAATATGACTTCTTAGCATTTAGTTAACCTTTCATTAGTTGTATTGTTAGCTATCTTGAGATGAAATGTGATTCCCTTTACTCTTAAAATAATTATAATTATAATATTAAAATTATTATAACATGGTTTAGAATGTCATACATAAATAGTGAAAGCCAAATTCTGGTGGCACACATGTTTACTCTTGATTTCAGCGGGAGCTCTGCATTCATCAGAAGATAGTGGTTGGTGCCAAAAATATACTGTTAGAGATCATTAGCAAAATAACATAGTAAGTAAATATATTCAATTTGTTATGAATTACATTTAAATGGGTAATTGTATGTCACACACTAAGTATTGTGATAGAAATGATCTGAGGAAGTGGGTCTGGCCCACGAAAGCTCATCATCTAATAAACCATCTTGTTAGTCTTTAAAGTGCTACATTGTCCTGCATTTTGCTTCACACTAAGTATTGTCTTGCTAAATTTTCACTGATTATAAAATAGTTTTTAAAAATAATCAAGCACAAGTTTTGGGGAAATGATGACATTTATTTAGAAACAAACTATTAACTATTGTTGTAACATGTTGAGAGCTTTTTCTGTTATAACAGATTTTTTTGCCATGTTTATGTATGTGTGTTTTTTAAAAGGTGATTATCAAAGCCTCTAGGAGCATGTACAGTATAAAAATTATTTTTAAAAAGTGAATAATTGTTATAATGTCTACTTAAAAAAATATAATTTCCAAACTACAAAACAAAATTGGATAGCCCTCCTTCTCAAACAACAAGCTGAAAAACACAGAATGACCCTGAAATATGTTCTAAAGTTAAAAATCTCTTTTGACCTAGCAGAGGTCTAATAAGGGAAACAAATTAAACAGTTGATATTCTGTAGCTGTGCTATGGACTATATCATGAGAGAGAGGTTTCACCAGATGCTCAAGTTTGAACACAATTGGCTCTCTATGTGTAGACTTTGTTATAGAGGTTCCTGTTTTCCCTATGTAGACTCCTGCTTTGTAGAAGTCCCTTGCTATGTTTCCTCCAGGATATTTTATAAGGAGCAAAATCAAAATCCCTAACCCATTCATGTCAGCTTATGTTTCCTCCCCTCCACCCCAGTGTTCTTACCCTGACTTCTGGTTAGCACAACCCTTTTTTTCTTTTTCTTGTCAGAGTATATCAGCTTTTTTAAAAGCTATTGACTCCAAAATCCCAATCCTGCAGCCCCATACATGCATTTTTAACGTTACTTCCATGAGTCTTGAAAGTGATTGAAATCACTTTATGAAAGCAAACTGCAGCATGTGTAAATGTTTGGTTGGGCCTACATTGGTGGGCTTTCTAAAATTCATTGCCTTCAAGATAATCATCCTATAGGAACCCCCCACCATTTTGGCAACTTGTGAACTGTGCTTTCTGAAGTGTGGGTCTCTTGTAGGGATCATCTGCATCTACCTCACTTTATCATTTCCCTGCTATTCCAGCAGTCTTGGGCATGGGTGAACCTTGATTGCCACAGGCAGTAATGGATGATCATAGGAGTCTACTCTCCTGTGGGCTGTAACACTTAGGTCTAATTTTGGTGCGTGGGTGCTGGGTGGTGTCGGTGATTTGTGATATAAAGGAAATCCAATTAGATGATCTGGTGGTCCCTTCTGACCTTATATTATATGACTAACAAGTCAGAACCCAATGGCTGTGTCTACACTGCACCCCTTTTCCGGAAAAGGGATGCAGATTAGACAAGTCAGAATTGCAAATGCAGCGGGGGATTTAAATATCCCCCGCTGCATTTGCATGAACATGGCTGCCGCTTTTTTTCCGGCTCGGGGCTTTGCCGGAGAAAAGCGCCAGTCTAGACGGGATCTTTCAGAAAATAAAGCCTTTTCCAAAAGGTCCCTTATTCCTGATTTTAAGAGGAATAAGGGACGTTTCGGAAAAGGCTTTATTTTCTGAAAGATCCCGTCTAGACTGGCGCTTTTCTCCGGCAAAGCCCCGAGCCGGAAATAAGCGGCAGCCATGTTCATGCAAATGCAGCAAGGGATCTATAAATCCCCCCGCTGCATTTGCAATTCCGACTTGTCTAATCTGCATCCCTTTTCCGGAAAAGGGGTGCAGTGTAGACACAGCCTGTATGTTTTTATGCTGACTATGGTACCTACCTTTAAGTCCTCTATAAATATATTTTGATTTTTTATTTCAGAATTTAGAGGGCTCAAAAATCATAGTTTATATCGTAGCTCCATGAAAACATATAATCTGCCAAAATTACCAAAAAACAGAACAAAAACCAGCCAACCCAATCATCCTCTTCAGTTTTTTTCAACTTCAGCTCTTAAAATTCACAGTGTATGCATTTTCTCACAAATTTCAAAACTGCTTTAAACTGTACCCTAAGAGGGGTTAAAATATCTTACTTTCCTTTAATGTCAAGTGATATTTAAAAACCACTGGCAAGCTCTTTTCTATGGGGGCCAGTTCTGCAACTACACACACAAAAGTGCCATTGTCTCAGAGACTTTGTGATATAACTTCCTCTTCATGAATGCATAATTCCTTTGAAAGTTATCAGAGGTTTTATAGCTGGGAAAGGCAGCATGCTCTGGGATGAGCTGTGGGTTAGGAGTCAGGTAATTTTCAGTTCTAGTCCCTCTTGGTGCCAAAAATTTGTTCTATGGCCCTAGCTAAATTGCCTCTAACTCACACTTCATCAGAGAAGAGCTTTTAGGAACAAAGCCTTGGTCCTGTGATGGTCTGGCCACGCGGGACTCCCCCGAGTAAACCTTACTTACTGTAAAGAATGTGACTAGTACCACTGAATTCACCTTATAGGACTGAACGTTTGGGCTTCAGCTTTCTCATTAAAATCAATGGCAAAACTCCAAAAGAACTGAAGCCTAATTAATTACAGTGTGTACAGGACTTTGAACGTAGTGTTACATTAGCACTAAATGACTCTTTTTATTGTACACCATAAGTGACCAGGATACTTGTTATGTGTGGAGCCTGTCTGATGAAAATTTATAAAGAATTGAAAACAAATTTGATAGAGTAACAGGTTTGTTAATGGTCAACAGAAGCTAAGTCTGCTTAAAAAAAAAGGAAACTTGGTTCAGTGAGTGTGTTTTTTTTTTTTTTAAATCAACTCAATGAGGAGTTTCATCTAGGCAGGATTAGAGTCTGAGATAGTAAAAAAATATATATAATCATAACACACTAATAGAAATAAAAAGACTATTCACTTTTATAATATATTTGATAAAATAATTGCTATACTCATGCTGCGTAAAAGTAACCAAAGCATAGTACACCTCGTTTTTGATAATGTAAAAGTAAATATATCTTTAATTAAAAAGACATTTGTAAAGCTTATCGAAACCCAAGAGGACTGGGTTACTCATATCAGTACTGGTGACTCAGGCTCCACAGTGCTACAGTACTCTACCTTTGCTCTCTTTTTTTATGTTTATATGCTTTGTGAAACTGTTTAATCTTTCACCAGGGCTGATGGTTGTCAGTGTAACAAAGGTAGTTGATATTCTGGGCCTGATTCAATGCTTGTTGAAATTGGTGGAATATTATCTTATGGACTTCAATAGACATTGAATCAGACTACATTATTAATGCTGAGTTAAGGCTACATGAAGACATTTAATGGAAAATCTCATGTGAGGCGCTGTGTGTGTGTGTAAAACTGAGTTTAAACTCATAGCTCCAATGCATAATCTTATTAGGAAACTTGGTTTTTTTAGGCCTTGTTTCCAAAATGCAGTGGATCGATACTGCAGCAAGTGATCCACTGGCAGTTGATTTATCACATTTGCTTAGTATGTCAACTTCAGCTACACTATTTACATAGCTGAAGTTGTGTAGGATAGATTAGGGGGAGAGGGGAGAGAGGGAAGGGAAGAAGGGTTAGTGTAGACAAGGCTTTAGCTTGCAGATGTCCTGATAGGCATGGGAATACTGTAGAACTCTGGGCATACACAGGGAGGCATCCAATCCACACTGCTTCCTATATTCAGTCAGTGTCTTCTCCTCCTCTGCTCTATACTCAGTGTCTCCTCTCATTTAATTATCTGTATTGCAGTAGCTCCTAGGAATTTAGGCTTGCCAGATGATTTCACCAAAAATCCTGAACATGGCAGGAAAAAAAAGTTTGGTTGAGCCTCCCTTTCTTCCCCGCCAAAAAGAGGCACAGATTGCTGTGCCTTTAAGAATCCTGGCGCTCCTCACTTCCCCCCGTCCAAGCCAGACATGGCAGGGGAACAATGTCTCTGCTGGCCTTCTGTCCAAGAAAAACAGAAAATACAGTTTACATGTCCGGTATTTTCTGTTTTTTTTTTTTTTTTTTTTTTAAACCAGACGGGGGCCAGAAATAATGGGACTGTCCAGGTGAAAACCAGACACCTGGCAACCCTACCTAGGATCCCTAGTTATGGACCAGGACCCCATTGTACAAACACAACAAAAAGTCCCTGTCCTTTAGACTTTAAAACCTACATATAAAAAACAAAATTATTTTCTTGCCTCCAAGTTCTCCCCACATAATTTGAAAGTATGAAGTGGGAGTGAAACGGAATCAATAATAACAGGGTCAATATTAATTCCTGCAAGTATTCCCCACCTGTCTGCTGAATGACGATGCTAGAAGGACCACTTCTCAACCAGTCATTCCCTTTTACTATCAACAGAGGTAGTACAACATAATGTTCACACAGTGTGGTATCTGAAACATTAGAGGAAGGAGGTTTTGCTTAGCTTCCCTCTTTCTCATGGATTTTGGGCCTGCCTCATGCAATTTTCTGGTACTTCCCTGTACTCTAAATTTAATTCCTGTTCTATTTATGCTATAAAAATTAAACAGTTTGAAAAATCCACTCAGAATGCAAATGTTTCCTCTTTAGGTCGGTAAATATTGAAGATTATCTTTTTATACACACCATATGTTGCAAATACTATTTTTGGCGTTGCAAGATAAAATATTAGTGAAACTTAATGAATTAAGCCTACCTGTTGTCACTTAATTTACAATCATTTGGTAACCTGGAAGGGACCTGAAACTAACAGTGCAGGAAATTATGGAGTAAATAGACCACATAGCTCAACTGGGCTGGGAAAACTAGTATTCTTTGTTTTTGGAGATGACTACTAGACAAATAGATGTTGTACAGGTATGAAAAAGAATAAAAAGACCATAAAATGAATATGTAATAAATATTGATTCATTTATTTTTCAAAGTACCAGCAAGGAGCAAGTATTTAGATACAAGATTTTCTTACCTGCGAGAGATGATATATTAATAATTACCCCTCCATCCCCTCCATTTCCTTTTCTCATGTATTCCAGGCCAATGTATGTTCCTCTGATCACAGAAGTCTGATATATGAAATATAAAGGGGAAATAAATTTTATTTTTTTCTTCACGAGATGTGAAGCTTTTACTTATAATTTTAAGATATAAACTAGATCATGGGTTCCTAAACTGGGGGATGTGAAGAAATTCCGGGGGGGGGGAGCGCAAGGCGACCCAGCCCACCCCTGTCAATCCCTCCCGCCCCCCAAGTTTTGCTGCTATTTTTGTTTTTCGTCCCCAGTTAGTTCCTCAAGAAGTTTTGCTGCTATTTTTGGGGTGTGAGGGTTTCTCAAAAATCAAAAAGGGGGCGTGATGCTGAAAAGTTTGGGAACCACTGAACTAGATAAACAACCCATAGCAGGTAGCATTAAAGAAGCACTGTAACAGCTGACATAATAAAAGTGTTGAAACAAATATTATATGAAATACAGAATAGACAAATAATTACTAATATGAAAGTGTTTGGCTTGAGGATAAAAGTGATCAATAAATTAAACTAATTTGGATTTGGCCATCTTTACTTTTATTTAATAATCACAGATGGTATGCTTTGCACTGAAGAATGTGTAAGTAATTGACTGAACTCTTGAGAGTTTGAGCCCTGAAATTTTCATGGTTCCAAGAGTTTCATATAGTTAGTACCTCCCAGGATATGGCTTAGTGAAAGAGTCCCTGTCTGGAAGTGCTTAGAATTTAAAGGCCTTGTTCTCTTTCATTAAAGTCAATTACCATTAGCTTCTATAGCAGTGAGATCAGTAGAGCTCTGTGTGAATTTAAAATTTGTTTCCTCATCTGTATCTGCAAAAATCAGCCATGGATACCTGCACATTGACATCCACAGATGTAGATACCTGTGGCTAGAAAGTGGATATCTGCAAATTTGCAGGGTTCTAGATACAAAATTATTATCCGCGTCTATATCGGATATATCTCCGGTATATCCGATAATCTGGCACCACCTAGGTCCCAAAGATGCTGGATTATCGGAAGTCTACTGTACATGGTTGTTAAGCCACGATGGCTCTTTTTTAGGTCTCTTACTATGTTTTTTAATTTGGGGTATAGAGTTAAATTGGGCCTCTATTATGGTGTCTTTAAAAAGTTTCCATGCAGCTTGCAGGGATTTTACTCTAGTCACTGTTCCTTTTAATTTCTGTTTAACTAACCTTCTCATTTTTGCATAATTCCCCTTTTTGAAGTTAAATGCCACAGTGTTGGGCTGCTGAGGTGTTCTTCCCATCACAGGAATGTTAAATGTTATATTATGGTTACTGTTTCCAAGCAGTCCTGTAATAGTTACCTCCTGGACCAGATCCTGTGCTCCATTGAGGACTAAATTGAAAATTGCCTCTCCCCTTGTGGCTTCCTGTACCAGCTGCTACAAGAAGCATTCATTTAAGGCATCGAGAAATTTTATCTCTGCATCTCATCCTGAGGTGACATGTACCCAGTCAATATGGGGATAATCGAAATACACCATTATTATTGATTTTTTTTTAAAATTTTGATAGCCTCTCTAATCTCCCTTAGCATTTCAACGCCACTATCACTGTCCCGGTCAGGTGGTTGATAAGATTTTTACGTCATTTGATTCTACATTATCTGTCATGTATAGTGCCACTCAGCCTATTCTGTCCTTGTGATATATTTTATATACTGGTATGATTGTGTCCCACTGATTGTCCTCATTCCACCAGATTTATGTGATGCCTGTTATGTCAATCTCCTCCTTTAATACGAGGTACTCTAGTTCACCCATCTTATTTAGACTTCTAGCATTTGTGTAGAAGCACTTTTAAAAATTTGCCTCTGTTTGTCTGCCCTTCCCTGATGTATTAGATTCTTGTATATGTGATTGTTTCTTGTCTGATCTAGCTCATACTTTATTATCTCCTCTCCTCTCTTTCTGACTAAAACCTAGAGACTCTCCTCTAAGAGAAGTCTCCGTCTGATCCACATGCTCCTCCACACCAGTTGGCTTTCCTCCATCTCTTAGTTTAAAAACTGCTCTACCTTTTAAACATTTAGTGCCAGCAGTATGGCTCCACCTTGGTTTAGGTGGAGCCCAATCCTTCCTGTATAGGCTCCCCCTCTCCCAAAAGCGTCCCCAGTTCCTAATAAATCTAAAACCCTCCTCCCTACACCATCGTCTCATCCACGAATTTGAGGGAGGGAAAACTGACACACTCAGGTGTTGCCTAATTTTGTCTCACCAAGATTTATTATTGCACTGCTCTTGCAGACAGAATTAATTAATCAGATAGAAGAATTCTAGGATAAGGTCCTAATTGGAATTGCCCATGCCAGTGCAGAATGTCATCATTACTGCTTTAGTGTTAAGATTTAAAATTATTTCTTTTTAATTAAAAATAATAGGAGTGCTGACTTTTGACTAGATCTCCCTTCGACCTTCAATTTTTCCTAAAATTGAACCCAATTCTATTTAGTTAGTCAAACAAAAGAGATGTCTTATAGCCAGAAAGATTATTTCACTTTTAAATGATGCATTTTATAAATATTATTTGTGTCTATCACTGTTTACAAGATTCCACTTTAAATTCAAAAGTTCTAATGAAGAAGTAGCCACTTTGTAAGTCTCTACACATGCAACTCCTAGTGCATTCATCGAGAGTTCTGACCAGGGAAGATGTGCATGATTAGCTGCAAATGGGAAGGATGGGAAATTCTCAAAATACTTTAATAGAAATGTAAAGTTAAAACCAGACTATGACTAAAGTCCTGTTGGAAGGGACAGCCAGTTAAATGGGGGAGGGGGAGAGGAGAGGGGAGGGAACCTCTTAAAATATAAGAACATTAAGTACCTTTGTAATAGTGCAGTAATGTTCTCCAAATTACAAATACAAAACAGAAATTATTTTAAAGTTTAGGCCACTATATTTTTTCATTCTTCATCTATAAACTATTTTAATAGTAAATGTAGTACATTTAGCCATATACTATAAAATTTTATGTAAACATCATTATCCAGATCCTGCTGTACTTATACAGGAATAACTCTGGTTCACTTTAATAGGAGTTTTGCTATGTGAGAAGACTGTGAGATCAAGTTTTATATTCTATTATAAATGCTATTTACAAACTCAGGAGCACAAAGCACATTCAGGTATAAAATGATTAATTTTTTTGCCTGCTCATAGCAAGAAATTCTAGGGAGTATATTATTGGTAAGTAAGAGCAATAGACAAATATTGGGAAGTTTGCTTTTTTAAAACAGAATACAGTTTTTCATTTTTGTCCAATATTGATGGGATTGTGTGCAAGCTATGTTCATCATGACTCCTTCGGCTGTCACAGCATTCCCTCAACTCCAGCAGACCAGGCTTTCTGTGGCCTGGTCTCTGACCCAATCAGCATAGCACACCACAGCCTACAACCCCTGAGTGATCCACCAGCCTTAGCTTCCCAAGTAGCTGGGATTGCAGATGCGTGCCACCAAAAGCTGGATGACCTATATTAAATTATTATTATCCCAGAAAGATTTTCTTTGCTTACAGCCTCATGCTTCTTTAGACAGCATCAGACCCAGAGGTCTGATTTTCACAGGGCCACACTTCATTCTAGTCAAAGCTCTTTCTCTGTTGTCTTTATGTTCATCATGCATGAAAGGCAACTGTTACTACAGAGAGGTTTAACCCAATGCAAACCAGTAGTATATATCCTTGTGTTTCTAATTTCTCTTACTGATGGAAAAATTGAAATCTGTAGGAAATACTGGCATTTTGCTGTTTTTCATCTCAAAATATGCAAAAAGTCTGCAGATGAATTTTGCCACATATTTCAAGAAAAGGGATATAATTGAATCTACTGCATGTTGTAGGTGCCACCTTGGTCCAGCAGCCTCACAGCCCTGGTCTACACTAGGGAGTTATTTCAAAGTTAGTTTGAAATAATAAGCAGAATGTCCACACTACCTATCCCATTATTTCAAAATAATGGGCTGATTATTTCAAAATCTGTACTCCTGCATTCCTCAGGGAATAACACTTATTTTGAAATAGTAGTAGGGTGGATGCTCTGTTGCTGCTGCTATTTTGAAATAACTACTCCCCAGAATAATTTGAAGTAATTACTCCCCAGTGCTTCCTGGGGATCTAATTTGAGATAGCACATCCACATTAATAGAGCCTGCCTAAAACTAATTTTGAGGCTCTCCCTGGGGACACGCTATTTTGATTTTGTTTTTTTGGGAGTTATAATTTTGAATTTAATTATGAAATAATTTCCTACTGTAGACATGTCCACAGACTGAGAACACTAATCATATCACGTTCTAACCAGTCCTTCAGCTGGCCAGGCCGTCAGTGGCACCAGACTTTCAATTGGCATAGTGTCCCACAGCAAGGAACTCATGAGCTCAAGTCATCCAGCTGCCTCAACATCCCAAGTAGGTGGGATAACAGGCATGCACCATTGTACCTACTGTTACAGTGTACTTAAAAATTATCAAAAACCAGGTTTAGGTGAGAGTTGCATAGGTCAAATATATCTTCATTCTGCCCTCTGTTCACAGCATCATCATGATCATGCACTTTTTTGTCTGGGCCCAATCTTGTGATGTTTTTAGCACTTCAATTCCTCCTGTGGTCAATGGGAATTGGAGGCGCTCAGTACCTCAAAGGAGCAAAGCTCATATTCCTTTAAGGAATAGTATTTGATATATGCTTTCAAAGATGTGTTACTTAGTGCATTGTGTAGTACTATTCAATGTTAATTGCACAGGTTAGACTTTCCTGGTCCGTCACTCTTGGGACCTGAGCTGTCCCGAACCAGGAAATTTGCCAGACCAAGGGAGGTCAGTGCTCTTCTCCCTCAGACTTCCTGCCCTGCTGTTGGCCCCACTAACAATGGCCTGGCATGGGCTCCACATCCTGCTGCTTGCATTCTCCCCCAAGGTCTCCCAGAATTCCCAGCTGGGACAGATTGGCTGCTGCTGGCCAAGCTGCCACATGGTGTTCCCCAGGGGTCCTGGGCTGGGGCCACCCAGATGTCACCAGCCCCAATG